ACAATGAGTGACAACAGCTCCTTCCTGCCTCCCCTCTCCCTGGGGCAGCCAGCCAGCACCCTTCCTGTGGGGACAGGACACAGGGGATGTGGAGCCCCAGCCGGGCAGGAAGGATGCCGGCCTGTGGCTGCACAGCAACCTGCCAGGCAAGGTGATGCCACACACCCCAGCTGCTGGGGACAGCCACCAGTGCCAGCTCTGGGCTGAGCCATGTCCCCCAGGCAGCTTTTCCTAGGTAAGCATGTGGTGACACAAGGCACTACACGACCTTTTTTTTTTCCTACCAGTCCTATCCCGCCCCATGCAAGACCACTGGAGCCAACACAGCACCTACTTTCCCAGCGAGCACCTGGCCCAGAGCTGGACACAACATGCAGCACCCACCCTAGGAGTCCCCATGGGGCACAGGAGCTCAGCTACCCCAGGGCTGGACGCTGAGCATCCCTGATGGGCAGCATCCTGCCTGCTCCCGCATCCCCAGAGGAGCAAGGGCAAATGGCTGCAGCCAGTGCTGCCGATTCAGCAGTCACGGTGCTGGGCAGGAGGGATTTGCAGCACTGCAGGACAGAGCAAGGTCGGAGGCGGCACCTGCCCCGGGGAGGGCAGCAGAGCAGCAGTCATGGCCAGCCTGAAGGACACAGCTGGGACCACATCTCCACGCTGCTGTGGCCACCAGGCCAGGGCACACATCCTTACAGCTGGGACTGTCACACACAGCGGGACTCCCAGCCAGCACTGTCCCCTGGCTTCACTCACAGCAAAGGGAAGAGGCTGGCCCAGGCAAGCAGGATCAGAGCTGCGGGACCTGATTGCAGCCGCCCTGTGCAGGCAGGCGTGCCTAGCAGCCTTTCCCAGGTAGGCAGAGGCTAAGCCTTGTCTATTTATTGCTGCCACCCAGCCGGGCCCTGCAGACTCTAATCGCCTCCTGCTGCTCTATTCCTGGCCCCTTGTGCAACCTTCCGCCCCTGCCTGCTGCAGCAGCATCGCCGGACAGGTCCAGCCACTCGCTGCACCCGGACTAAAGCCAACAGGATCTGGCCGGCAGCCCGCCTGCCTCCTGCCCTGTGCCTGCAGCACCCTGCCTACAGCTCAGCCCACCCCAGGGTGCCCCAGTGTGGGGACCCTCAGGCAGGAGGCTGCACCCCAGAGGCTCCCCTGCCTTGGGGCTCACTCCCTGCACAGCTGGAGCCCCAGGGAGAGCCCAGCAGTCCCAGCCAGCAGGTCCTGGAGGCTGGCTCGGCCCTGGAGGAGATGCCAACCAGATGGCACGTGGCACTGCTTCCAGCAGTGCTGGCTAGTCCCCTCCTGGGCCAGGCAGGGTTGGAATGCTGCGTGCCACCGGCATCCCCTGCAGTAAGCTGGCCATCCCAGGGACAATGCTGTCACCTGACACAGGAAACCCTGGCAGAACCCTTCTGCAGGGGGTCACAGCAAGCCTTGGTCAGGCAGGTGGGCTGCTTAGCAGGCCCCCTGCAGCAGAAGAGGTGGGCAGGCAGAGCACCCCTTCCCACCAACGGCAGGTCCTTGCATGCTGAGACCTGCCAGCCCGGGGCAGGGTCCCCGTACTGTGGGTGAGGGAAGCTGCAGACTT